AGCGCAGACGTACAGTCTTTATCCCATTGCCAGATTGTCTCTTTCTTCAACAACCTGCGCAAGGGAGCGGCGATAGTGGAGAAGTTCCTCACGAACTTCCTGTAGTAGTTAGCTAGGCCTAGGAACGACCGCAACTCTGTCAACGTGCGGGGCGTCGGCCAATCTCTTATCGCCGCGATCTTGCTGTCCTCTGGCTTAATGCCATCTCCGTCCAACACGTGGCCCAAGTACAAGACTTGCGTCTTGGCCCACTCACACTTCTTCGCATTGATCTTGAAGTTAGCCTCTCTAAGCTTTTCCAAGACCTGCCTCAGATGACCCTGGTGCTCCTGGAGGGTCTTACTAAAGACTAGGATATCATCTAAGTAGACTACCACAAATTTATCTAACCACGGTCTAAACAGGTCATTCATGCAACACTGAAAAGTAGCTGGCGCGTTGGTTAGTCCAAAGGGCATCACTATAAACTCATAATGCCCATATCTAGTCTGGAACGCAGTCTTGTACTGATCATCAGGATGAACCTCTATGTGATGGTATCCGGACTTTAAGTCTATCTTAGAGAAATACTTACAACCCTGCACCCGATCTAAAAGATCGTCTATCCTGGGCAGCGGCTCAACATTCTTCACGGTGATCGCATTTAATCCCCTATAGTCTATACACATTCTCAGCTCTCCTTCCTTCTTGGGGACAAACAAAACTGGTGCTCCAAAAGGAGACGAACTGGGCCTGATCCAATCCTTCTCAAGGAGTTCGTCTAACTGTTTGCGAAGCTCCTCTAACTCTCTAGGGGGCATTCTGTAGACCGCATCCTTAGGAGTTCTACTGCCAGACTCTATCTCTATTCTGTGCTGGATGGGTCGCGGCACTACTCCTGTCGGCGGTTCAGTCAAATCTTTGAACTCTTCCAACAGCTTGGCAATTGTTGGATCTGTTGAACTATCATTTTCCTGGCCCTCAGTGACAGGTCTAACATACACCACAAAGACCTGTTCCTCTAACTGCTCCTTTCTTATTAATCGCGCGAACGCGGGAGCACTGAGACAACAATGCGCCAAGGTGTTATCTACACCGGACGCATGGAACAGGCGAGCAGTCTTCACTTCGCTTGACGGACTAGGGAGCCTACACTCATGCTCTCTCAGATGGAGTGTGGCCCCTGCTGCCTC